AGGGAAGGTACCTGAGCGACGAAAGCTGGAAGAAATTTCAGAGGGAGCAACAATGTGAGGGAGATTGCAGAATCGAAACCCGGATTTGAAAGGTTAAGGGCTAATTTATAGCCTTTAAATCGCCGTATCGAGGACCAATCAGGAAGCGACACGTCATCAGAAGCATTTAAGCTAAACGCGTGTCCAATGAAAAGACTAAACGACGGTTATCATGATGAATATGGGGAAATAAAATGACAGCCGTCAAATCACAGTATGGGGAACTGACTACTTCTGTACCCCGATCGTCATTCGGCAAATTGCAACATTGGTGCTCATACTTCCTAATGCACTCACTGTCATTCGTGACATCGGAAGTGGGGGACTTGTGTTGGGATATTGATCCAGAGGCCCAATACCCGGACTAAAAAGGCCCAAGATACCCGGCCCAAACAACGATCCCATCACTCTATGATGAGTAGAGCCAGCGAAGAATTCATGCCGAACGAGATTCGGCCCAAGTAAGGGTTGGCCCACTAAGAAGATATACCGAACGGAGTTCGGACTATATATCATACTTGAGCCAATTTGACAGCGTCTTCAGCATGGTCCAACATCTCGTTCGAGCAACGGACAACCAGCAAGTGGCCAGGTGCAATTAATGCCAGATTGTGACATCAGCAAGTGGAAACATGGGTGACCAAGTCGGTGGAACAACAGCCAATCAGCATAGAGCAGCCCATGCTCTCCATTAGTATAAATAGAAGGTTAAAAATCATTGTAAGGGTTAGCATTTCAATACTCAGGCTCTAGAATAACATTATTGCTCTTAATTCTTGTATTAAAGCATTATCCCGACCTACCGATCGGGAATTTCCTTGTAATCAGACAGGTTAATTAATACGAGTGGGCTTTTGAGTATTAGTGAGTTCATATTTTATATTTGGTTATACACTTTGATTCTGTATCATTCCTGATATATCCAAAGTTCGTGTTGGGCTTTCGGATCTACGGGACTTACCTTCAACAGATACATTTACTATTCACTTGATCAACATAAATCACTCTTAATCTTTTACTTTATATAGAAAAAGTTTATGAAATTTGAATTATTTTTTGTATGTTTTGTAGTGGTTTTAATGTAGTTTCTGAATACATAAATTTTATTTTCTAAAACTAATTTGAGTGTTGCAGAGATCAATTTGCTTTATTGTCGATCAAACATCGTAAACCGTAAAGTATCTTACAAATTAGGACATATGGAGTAAAATTATTTAATTTGATATAATTTTTAAAAAGATAGAACAAAAATGGAAAAATTATGTCATTTTATAAAAAACAAATGTTTGTCACATGTCATCAATTATTGACCGTAGAGTCAATTTTGGAATTGATTAAAATTTGATGGAGAAGTGTTTTTCCCGTTCGCATGTGAAGCTTCTTACTTCTATCAAGCGGCATTTGTTATAATTCGTATTACATTGATTAATTAAATAATTGAAAAGGTTAAATTAGTCATCTTAAGGTTACATTAAACAATAATAAGGGTGTGCCTAGCAACCCCCTTCTAGATGACTAGTTCCCATTTTTATGTTTAAAATCGTATGCTATATGCCTATATCATTTACCCATCATGTTGCCCGAGTAATTTGTAATTATAGATGTTTTCTAATCACTTTGGTTTTTATTTACCCATCAAATTTTAATCAATTCCAAAATTGACTCTACGGTCAATAATTGATGACATGTGGCAAACATTTGTTTTTTATAAAATGACATAATTTTTCCATTTTCGTTCTATCTTTTGTTAAATAACTGAACTCTATGTTTTTATTTAACCAAAGTGATAAGAAAAATTTAGATCAATAAAAAACAATTTAGTATTGTAACTTTCGGTTTTATCATCCTTCTTCAATTCAAATGCCATTGTTTTTCTCTTTCAACTCCATCCTTTTTCGTTAGTTTTTATGTTTGATTTGTGATTTGGTATTGTAAATGTTTGCTTATTTTCTCCTATGTTTAAAAAATCGGATCGGGGAGTGACCCAACCACATGACTGGGTCACGGGTCAACCCGAACCCGGTGGGTCAAGCCAGTCAACGATTATACGTCTATATAATAATAAACATATAATTATATACAAAATTATAATAAAAAGTAGTTATTATTCATAATAATGAGCTAACAATACTACTTATTTCAAAATATAATTTTGATCCTATAAAAGTATATAATTTGGCATGATTTCTATTATTTTTTCTGAACGAGCATGATTTTTTTTCTTAAATAAATATATAAATATATTACACTTTTTCTTTTCAGGGTATTGGAATTGTAATTTTATTGATTTAAAAATGCATTAGAATTAAAAAAGGAATTACTTTTTTTAAAACACCCAAAACCGGGTTTCCCCGTTTTTTTCGAGTTTCTTGGGTCCGGGTTCGGACCAGGTTTTCCCGGGTCAGCCGTGTTTTTCCGGTATTTTACCATTTCCGGGTTTGGTACAAACCGAACTGGGTTTTTGTTCGGGTCACCGGGTTTCGAGTCGACCCGGCTGGGTCGGGTCGGTTTTTTAAACATAGAGTTTCTCCCCTTTTCAACTAATTTCTCTTCGAGGTTTTGTATGAAGAATATCATTTTTGTCTTTTTCAGGATGCCTTTATTTGTTTTTAAACAAATTAAATCAAACCAACAAATTTTAATCCAAGTAAAAACATCCTTACTTTTATTTGATTGTTGTATTTTCCTTTGTATTTCTTTTTGTTATCACACATGATTTGATCTGTAATTGATGGAATTAATGGTTGGACTTAATTAGAAAAATGCGAGGATGTAAAAAGGAGAAAAAAAATTGATGGTGGACTTAAGTAGGGGTGGGTATATCGATTTTCGGTTCTGTTTTTATCGGTTTTGTACGGTTCAGTTTGGAACGGGTTGAGAGAGTTAGTATCAAACAAAAATCATACTACCGTTACTATGTACGTAGTACTATTTTTCGGTTAAGTTCGGTTTGGATATGTTATATTTTAATAATATATGAAAGTTTTATTGAATATTTCAAATAGTTTAGAAATTAGTTCAAATAGGACTAAAACTATGGCAAAAACCTAAAATAGGACTTGCTATGTTTTTATTCCAAAATAGGACCATATGAGTCCTATTGGAAACATACCTATTTTTGCATTCCATTCTTACCCTTCCATTAAATATGAATTAAAAATAGTCAAAAGTCATAATTAAATGTTTAATTCATAATAAATTCGAAAAAAATTCAAAAATTCGTAGAAATATAATTAAAAAATTTATAAAAAATTTATAAAATAAAAAATTCAAAAACTTTTTTTTAAATAATTTTATTTTTAAAAAAATTAATAAAAAATAGTAAAACTCCGTAAAAAAAATTTAAAAAAATATGGGTGCCTTTCCCACCGCCTGTACTACCTCCCAGCACCACCACCTCCGGCCGATGAAGAAAAGCCATTTTCCCAGAAAAATGCCATTTTTTTTCTGGAAATGCCAAAAAAGTGGCATATTTCTCTTTTCGAATGCCAACATTTTCATTTTTTTCTGCCATAAATATGGCATTCGTAATGAACTTGGCATTTTTTCCCCTAGTGACTGGAGGTGGTGGTGCTGAGGTGGCAGAGGCGGCGGCGATTTTTTTTTGAGTTTTTATTTTTTTATTTTTTTTAATTTTTTTAATTTTTTGAAAAAAAAAAATTAATTAAATTTTTAATATCGAAATGTTTTTCTTAATTTTTTAGTATTTTTTACGAATTTTTCTTATTTTTTATTATTTTATTAGGAATTAAAACATTTTAATAGCTATAAGGGTATAATTGTCCAAGGTACACATAATTAGTCCTATGCAAACATAGTTTATTTTTTGGTCCTATTTGTGAAAAGTGAATGACTTTTAGTCCTATTTTGATAATTAACTCTTAGTATCAAACAAAAATCATACTACCGTTACTATGTACGTAGTACTATTTTTCGGTTAAGTTCGGTTTGGATATGTTATATTTTAATAATATATGAAAGTTTTATTGAATATTTAAGTTTAGTTTGATTTTGTTCGGTTTTTAACGGTTTCAGTTCGGTACGATTTAATACGGTTTGGAAGAAATACTACCAAATTCAAACTAAATTGCATATGATCCGGTTTCGCTTAGGTTTAGTTCGATTTAGTATGCTGTGATTAAACCAAACCAACATGCTCACTCATAGAATTAAGATAATAAGAAGAAAGTAAAGAAGAAAGAGGAAAAAAGAAAAAAAAGTAACAAGAAAAGGGAAGAGGGAAACTAAAAAGAAAGTATAATAAAATGTAGAGGGGGGATATTTCATAGAAAAAGAATGATTAAGAAGAGAAATGCAAATATATTCGATGAAGAAGAAAATGACAAAAATAGTTGTGCAATAAAACTCTTTTAAAGGAGTGAGAAATAGAATACAGAAAAAACAAAAACCAAAACACTGGACATTTTGAAAGATGCGAAAAATCTAATTATTTATGCAATGTTTTTAAATAAAAAAATTTACTCTATGATATGGTGAAAAGATAGGCTAAAAAGTTGATGTTATTCTGATATTACATAAATGCGAGATTATCTAATAAGACTGAGAATGTTTTACTTGGATTGTTTTCAATCTCGAATCAGACCAATTCAGATCACACCGGACCGGACCATATCAGATTTGAATAGTTATAAAATATACACAAATTAGACGTTTACGAGATCAGAAGGAATCAGTTCAAATCAGACCAGTTCAAATCAGAGCACTTCAAAATTTCAATCTAAGTAAAAACATACAGAGTATTGATTAAGATTAGATGAGATTATTGTTATATTTTATTCTAATTTTACTTTTACAGTTTTACCTATATGAATCATTCATTTTCTCTTCGGTTACTTTGTGAATTTTTTGTTTCAATATTTCATTATCAAATCACAATTACTCCTTGATAAATAAAAAAGACTGTTGGAACAGGGAAGTGAGGAAGTCTTAAATCTTACGGAGTAATACAAAAGTGAGAGTACAATCTTACATTGGAGAGACTGGGGGTAGCAAAAGAAGAAAACAAAAGGCAAAAGGCACTATTCAATCTTCAGCATTTGAACATCTTCTGGACTCATTTAATGTGTATTCAAAAAGAAAAAGTGGAAAAGAAAAGAAGAATATTGAAAGCTAAGCAGCAATGTTCTCTCTCTCACTTTACAAATTTCTCTTCTGCGTAGCTCTGTGAAGGAATGGCCAAACCCCTGCTCTCATACCAAGCTTGGAAAGGAAAAAATGTATGCTACTCTGCCTCCCTTCTACCATCAATATATAAATACTCCGTATTATTCATCTAATTTTTCCAGTTTCTTAATGGGTGGGTATGCATAAACAACATTAAGGTTGTTTTCTGTCAGATATTATTTGGCTAATTGAAATTTAGTTTGAAACTTCGCATATCATGGACTATATGAAGCTTGTTGGTGGTGGTTTGACATGAGTTCAGCTTCTTCTTTTTAATATTGCCATGAGTTCATTCTGGGTGAACTCATCTCCACACATAAACTATGTTTTTGTGGTCTTCACAAAAAATCTAAATTCATATCTTGTTTCCGAATTGTTTTAATAAATGATTCTTTCAAATAACCCCTTTCACTCGTCTATCATTCAAAAATAAACTTGTACCTGATCCACATTCCCAAATAATCCCATGAATGGGGTTGCCTCAAGCTAGTGCTAGTCTTGAACTTTTGATTGTGATGAGCAGTTGAGGACTTGAAGCTAACTCACATATATTTGGCTAGAAGCACAAAAAGAGTATTCGTAAAATCTAGCACCATTTGTCATGTGTTGTTGTTGTGAAATTTCTCCTCTGCTCAAATGTTTGGGAAAGATAAGTAAATATATGAATTAGATTAGTTAACACTTCATTAATGCCTATTTTACTTTCTTCTATTTTGTTCTTTTTCTAGAATAGTGGTGCTGCAGATAAAACAATGCCTTGAGCTTTACTTAGAGTAATTTGCAGCACCCAAGCTGGTGGCATTGATAATTATCTATGTCTGACAGATTGTTAAAAAGTGTGATTTCCCATGTCACTTAATCTCTCTTGTTTATTGTTGTATTGTTCTGACCCCCATTTATGATTGATGCTTGATTTTATATAGAAGGGTAGCTAGTAACATTTGCATTGTGCAGAGATTCCTTCTCAAGGGGAGGCTGATATTTGGACCAGATGCCAAGGCATTGATTGTAACATCCATGCTCATCGTTGTCCCAGCTGCTATCTTTTGTATTTTTGTTGCAAGGAAATTTCTGCACCAACATGTAGAAAGCAGTGCAGGATATGTGATTATGACAGTGACGGTCATTCTCACATCTTATGTTAGTTCCTCAACCCCTATAATAATACTCTCTATGCTCCAATTTACTTGTCCCAATTTAGTTTTTACGCAGTTAAAGAAAGGGAAAATTCTCGAAATAGGAGTCAAAATGTTTTAGAATTCCAAAATTGGAATACTATTTTCTTATTCTCTAAATAAGAGTACTACCAAGCTTGGAAAATACTGCCCCTTATATACGGCTATAAAGTATATTCCAAGCTTGGCAGTAAATACTCCTATTAGGGAATAAAAACGCAGTACTCCTATTTTGGATTTCACAAACATTTTAACTCCTATTTAGGGCAATTTCTTTTAAAGAAATTGTTTTTAGAGGCGAGCAACATAGATTTTGTGGGGTACATATTTTATTTTGGGTGAGTAGTGTCTTATGTATTGATAGGTATAACATTATTGTGTTTGCCCATTTCGAAATTAAAGGGTTGAGACAAGCAATATGGAACAACCCAAAAACAAAATTGAGACGAGTTAATTGGAACATAGGGAGTATAAAGAAATGATTCTCCTAATACCCGTTTGGTAACCCACTTTTTTACTTATCACTCTTACCAGCCATTTTTTTAACTAAACAATTTTTTTTAACACAAGACAAGGCTTGAGGTCTTTTTTATGTTGACTATCTCACTTATTCAGTTGGTTGGCCAGAACAGGTCTTGGTGCTTCTGATTTTAACTGCAGCGCAAGATCCAGGCATTGTTCCACGCAATTCTTGTCCCCCGGATGAAATATTAAGCTATGAATCATCAACCACTGTTGAAGCTGGTGGAAAACCATTGCCCCGAACCAAAGAAGTAATTGTCAATGGTTTAACTGTGAAAGTTAAATACTGTGAGACATGTATGTTGTTTCGTCCCCCACGCTGCTCTCATTGCTCTGTGTGTGATAATTGTGTGGAGCGGTTTGATCATCATTGCCCTTGGGTGGGCCAATGTATTGGGAAGGTATGTAGTGTTCTTTATATAGCCTATTTAGTATTTACATGTGATGTGTTAGTTTTGAAAAAATAAAAGGAGATTGGTTGAGCAAATGAATTTTACTTGGGCTTAGTTTGACATCCAAATGTGGATTTTCTGATCATTATGTTGATCAGTAAATTAACTGGCTTTTGACGTACTTGTTCAGTTGAGAGGGGTGTTAGCTTACACTTTTCCTTTAAGAACATTTGTTCAACGCTTTCCTCTTTATAACCCTTACCAAAATACCAAATGGTCCCTTATTGTATTTGTACCATAAGACATTTTTGAAGAGCTTCTTTCTTCTACATTTGCAGCGCAATTATAGGTGCTTCTTCCTCTTTGTTTCTTCAGCAGCCCTGCTATGTGCTTTCGTGTTTTCCATGTCAGTCTTGCATATCAAATTTCTTGTGGATATACATGAGAATGTGTGGAGAGCCATCATAGAATCACCAGCATCTCTGGCATTGATGATCTATTGCTTTTTATCACTTTGGTTTGTTGGAGGTCTCACTTGCTTCCATTTGTACCTGATTAGCAAAAATCAGGTAGTGTACCATTCATTTGTCTTAACTCTTTAGTCATGCTGGACATGGTGAGTTATGGTTTACAATGATTGACTAATGATAAACTTAATGATAAACTCTTTAAATTATTATCAATATATAACTTAGATAATTAGAAACTAGCCTAATAGTTCTATTGAATTGCAAAAATAAAATTTGATTTAATAAATAACTAATACCAAAAATCAAAGAATAAAAACTACTTATGCTGGCCATGTGAACAGTAAATTCTCAAAATTATTATCATGGGTTATCCTATTTTATTGCTAAAGTAAAGTCCATTAACAAAAAAATTGTGAGTATATGGTCACTTATGTCACTGTGAAAACTTTAATCAATCATTGCAGACCACATACGAGAACTTCAGGAATAGAAGGGACAACAGCATGATCAATGTTTATAACTTGGGCTGCAAAAACAATTGCATTGAAGTGTTTTGCACAAGGGTTGAAGCCTCAAAAATTAATTTTCAAGGACATGTAAACGAACAAGGAACAACAGAAGTGAAACCCCTCCCTCAAATGGGGGGTGGTTGTAGTATCAATGAAGGGGTGGTAGATACTCGTCCCCGAGTGAAGGTAGAAGATGATGATGACATTGGGGATGATCTTCTAAAATTATCCCAAAGGCGCAACTCAGAAGATATAGCCAATGTTTTTAGAAGTGATGCAAAAATACTTGATGAGTGTCCTGATGCTGACTCTGCAATGGCTCACTTGGCCTCTAGACCACCTTACAACCATTTCTAGTTTTGACTGAGGAAACTGTGTTGAAAGAGCATATAGTTCTGATTCAGTGATTCTTCCATCTTAATCTTTTGTTATCTCATCATTTTCAACATGTGAAATGTATTCCAATTCTTCCCCCTCTATAATATTCCACTTCTTGGGGGCACAACAAAATCAATTGCACACGTTTTCTCTATATTTGAATGTTTTCATATGTTCACCAAACAACTACCCCCTCTGTCCCTAAAAATGCTTCCCGGTTTGACTTGGCACACTTATTAAGAAAGTGGAATAAAGTGGAAATGTATGGTTGTGGTTGTGTAAGAAAAATGTGAAATGAATGTGAACCACACAAATTGTCCAAAAATGGTAAGTGGATTTTTTTTGGAACGGACCAAAAAGGAAAGTCGGAAGGTTTTTCAGGGACGGAGGGAGTATTTAAATTCCATTTCATGTTGTTAAACCGAAACAGGCCCTTGATGAGCCAAAAGGAGAATAATTTAGTTCTTCCACTTTTTCCATTCCGTCCACTTTTTTGAACCAAGGGCTTCTTAGAGAGCAAAAAGTTGTGAGATTTTGGGAAAAGGGTACTCCATTAGGAGTCCTAACAGATATATTTATATAAAAGAGTTTGAGATATACAAGGAAACAAGTATCCTAAATATTCTATTACACCCCCTCAAACTGTGCGGGAGATATAACGTGCAAGTTGTTTTTTTAAAAATGAAATTGCTGACTAGAAAGCCTTTTAGTAAAAATATCAGCCAACTGTAATTGTGTAGGGATGTACTTCACAACTAAGTCTCCATGAGCCACACACTCTCTGACAAAATGATAATCAATCTGGATGTGCTTGCTACGAGCATGTTGAACAGGATTTGCAGTCAAATACGAAGCAGAGATGTTATTACAAAAAAGATGGACAGGAACGTGAACTGGAAAACCAAGTTCAAACAGCACGGAACGAATATGCAATGTGTCCTGGACAGTGTAGGCAACTGCTCTATACTCGGCCTTTGTTGATGACTTGGAAACTGTAGGGCGCGTTTTGGACTTCCACGAAACAAGATTGGGACCTAAGAATACGGCAATACCTGTCGTGGAGCGAGATGTATCTGGACAACCAGCCCAATCAGCATCAGAATATGCAAAAATACATGTGGCTCGAGTAGTGGGCTGAAGCCACAATCCATGTTCCAAAGTCCCCTGCAAGTACCTAAAAATGCGCTTGACTGCAAACAGATGAGTAGTACGAGGGGCATGCATAAATTGAGATACTAAATGCACAACATAGGTAATATCAGGTCATGTCAAAGTTAAATATTGTAATGCACCAACCATACTCCGATACTCAGTGGCATCTGCAAGGAGTTCCCCATCAGTGAGGGATAGAGACGTGCGAGTAGCAAGGGGCGTACGAACAGATTTAATTGTGTGAAGATGAAAACGAGAAAGAAGATCAAACACATATTTATGATGAGAAAGAAATAAACCCTTAGTGGAACGCACTGCCTGAACTCCCAAAAAATAATGAAGATCACCGAGATCTTTCATGGCAAAATACTTAGCAACAAGCTGAATAAAAGATGTGATTGCAGCAGTAGAATTGCCAGTAATAATTATGTCATCTACATATAATAATAGATAAAGGATAGTATTATTATGGCGATAAATGAATAAGGAATTATCTGACTTGCTACGTGAAAAATGATGGGACAATAAAAAACTACTAAAACGGTGAAACCATGTCCGCGGGGCTTGCTTAAGACCATAAATGGCTTTTCGCAATCTGCATAAATGATTAGGAAATAAAGGATGTATAAAACCCTGCGGCTGACGCATATAGACTTCCTCAGTAAGGTGATCATGTAAAAACGCATTTTTGACCTCTAATTTATGAATGACCCACCCCAAAGAAATGGCTAAGGAAAGAACAATACGAACTGTTGAGGGTAAGTCCCGTAGATCCGAAAGCCCAACACGAACTTTGGATATATCAGGAATGGCCCAGAATCAAAGCGTAAAAGAAAATATAAGATCTGAACTAACTAAAACTCGAAAGCTCACTTGTATTAATTAACCAATCTGATTACAAAGAAATTTCTCGATCGGTAAATCGGAAACTATGCTTTAATACAAGAAGTAAGGGCAAATGATGCTATTCTAGAGCTTGAGTATTGAAATGCTAACCCTTACAATGACTTGAAACCTTCTATTTATAATAATGAAGAGCATGGGCTGCCTCTTGCTGATTGGCCGTTGTTCCACCGACTTGGTCATCCATGCTTCCACTTGCTGATGTCATAGTCTGGCATTAATTGCACCTGGCCACTTGCTGGTTGGCCGTTGCTCGAACGGGATGTTGGGCTGCACTGAAGATGCTGTCAAATTGGCCCAAGTATGATATATAGCCCGAACCTCGTTCGGTATGTCTTCTTACTGGGCCAATCTTTATTTGGGCCGAACTCCGTTCGGTATGTCTCCTTACTGGATCTTTTCATCATAGAGTGATGGGCCTGTTACTTGGGCCGGATATCTTGGGCCTTCCCGATCTGGGTATTGGGCCCTTAGGTCAATATCCCAACACAAGTCCTCCACTTCCGATGTCTCGAACGAAGTGAGTGCATCAGGAAGTATACCAATGTCATAATACCCCGAATGGCGATCGGGGTACAGAAGTAATCAGTTCCCCATGCTGCGATTTGACGGCTGCCGCTTCATTTCCCCATATTCATCATGATAACCGTCGTTTAGTCTTTTCATTAGACGCGTGTTTAGCTTAAATGCTCCTAGTTATGTGTCGCTCTCTGATTGGTTCTCGACACGGCGGTTTCAAGGCTATAAATTAGCCCTTAACTTCTCAATTCCGGGTTTCGACTCTGCAATTCCCTGGCCTTCGTTGTTTCCTCTGCAAATTTCCCCCTGCTTCCCTTGCTCAGGTAATTTCCCAACTTTGGATTCCCCATCTTCATTTCTGGCTTCGATCGAGATGAGCCCCAAAGAGCATTCCTCTGATTCGGAGATGGCCTCTCATGGGGATGACCGTGACACCGCCATTGTAGATGCCATCCCAGTTCCGTTTGCCGGTGTTTCTACTGAGACGGCGACGAATACTAGGGCTGAGGCGGAGGACCTCCCTAGCACTTCTTCTTCCTCCATTGAGGATTCTGATGACACCAAATCCGAGGACGAAATAGCCTCCATGGCGGCCGGACGTCCCAACGATGTTCCTCGCCAAACTCTTGACCTAAAATTGATTAGGGAGAGGAGGCAAAAATTGACCTCTCACAATAGGGCCGAAATTCCGGCCCTTATCCCTGACCCGGTGGATTTCCGTTTGCAAGCCGTGCTTCACCCAATGCGTCATAGGCCCGGAATGACCATAGTCCACTTTGACTCGATTAGGGCCGACCTTAGATTTCCGCTACACCCCTTTTTCATTTCTTTCTTCAATTTCTACGAAGTTGTACCGGCCCAGATTATGCCGAACTCTTATCGAGCAATGGCGGGTTTCATTTGTCGTTACAAAGATGCCGGCGCCCGACCAACCCTAGAACTCTTCCACCAATTTTTCAAAGTAGCCCCCCAACAAACCCATGGCTATCTGGCCACTAGTGCCCGAACGGGACACATCCTGTTCAAAGGAAACCCAACTTCGATCAAAGGGTGGAAAGACCGGTTTTTCTTCGTGTCCATCCCGGACGGTCTGATTCCCCGCAAATGGAATGCCTTTCCCCGCAAAACCCCTGATCCTGTCCTCACTGAAGAAATCTACAAGGACGTGCTTGCTGTGGAGAAGGATAAATGCATGGACATCATGAATTATCTGACCCCCGAACGACTTATAACAGCCGGGATAGGTACTGCCCGTTCTCTTGGGTTTACTTGTTTTGATAAACCAAGTGCCTTGGTCCGGGCGGTCCTTCCCGTGCGAGAAACGTTCTTTTATTCTTTTTTCTAGTTTCTCACACGCTAGGGCCGCTCGATACTAACATTGTTCTTTGTCTTTTTTCAGCACCCAACCCAGATCTTCCTATGGATGATAGCAGAGTCATCGCAGCCGGTGGGGCTGGAAAACGGAAGAAATCCAGGAAGAATCCACAACCTACTCCCTCCATTATTCCCGCTCAGGAGGCTGCCCCTTCTGAACCGCTTCCCGAGCCTCAGCCAATACAGCAGGTCCACCAGGACCAATTAGAGGCCATGCTGATCGACGAGCGGTTCGGCTCTGATCAACTGCACCAATTTTCCCAGCATTTCGACTCCGTTCGGGGAGAACCCTCGAATGCTGGCGAGACTCACACCGACCATATTACGGGTCAGGTCGAGCGGATCTCCCTATCCGACCCTGTCCATGAGGTTTTAGAGAGGGCCGGCTCTACCGCGAGCCAGATCTGGTCAACCTCCTCTTGGTTCAACAACTTTTCCCTTCCTCAGTTGCCGGTCGAGCAATCTGAAGAATGTCTGGCTCTGACTGCTCTGAAGGTATATTGTCTTTTGCGCTTTGTCTTTATTTTATTCTCTGTAACCAGTACTAATTCTCGAACGGTATTCTGTAGATGGGCTTGTACACCCTTCAGATGCGGGAGGCCCGCCTGGCCAAGGAGCGGGAACTGATTGTTGCCCAGTCTTCTGCTGAGCAACATGCTGCTGCTGCCATCGCCTCTCTGGAGGCCGAACGGAAAGCCTTTGCGGAGGAAAAGCAGAGGCTGGATGCTGAACTCGGTACCCTTCGGGTCCAACTCACAGCTTCCCAGGCGAAGGTCCTTGCCGCTGAGGCCGCACAGGTTAGATTTGAGGAAATGCCATCCAGCATCCCGGACGGTCCCTATGAAGTGAATGTGGATCTGTCCGCCGTCCGGGACACGTTTAAATCCTCTGATGAATTCTCCGCCATCAAGGATGATCATGCAAGGGCCCAAATCCCGTTCGCCTTTGGGGCGTATTTGAAGGGTTTCCCCAAAGGCGTTGATCGGCTATCGGCAGGGGTGGCCCTCTTGGATAAGGACCCTGAGGCCAAAAAATGGAACGACTCCATTGTCTCAGACCTTTATGGCAAAATTGGCCAGGTCTTGCTGCGTCCCTTCGTCAATCAGCTTCAAAATCATCTGGGGAGGCCGGTTCAGGCTTCTGATCTCCCCGCAGATGACATTATCCAGACTCAGTTTGAGAAATTCCTGCGAGCTCAGCAGAGGGAAGCCGATCGGGCTGCGGGGAAAGAGCCTGAACCCCTGTCTGATGATGATGAGGAAGAGGATGGAGAGGGAGATGAAATGGCCCCCGATCAATAATTCATATGT